AGTTTAATTCATTCGCCACAGGAATGGCAGGAGAAAGGAACAGAACTTTCGTTCCAATTGACACCTAACCCCTTTTTTACCCACCCATCCCACCCCGGGGAGGACATCCATCACACAGTAATCTCGTGTGTGGGAAATTAACGTCTCCTACCCTAACCCTGCAGGAGACGGGACCTCCATTTATCGTCCCTATCCGAGAAGACTAGAAAGTCTAACCATTTGCAGATATTATTACAAAGGCAGCACTTTCTTCTCAGTTAGTTAAAGACCCTGAGTGTTGGTCCGGCCGGATTAGAACTCACGACCTCCCGCACAACAGTCCGGCGCTCTACCAATTGAGCTAACCGGGAGGCGGTTTCATTTGTAAATTTTTATTTGTAATTTGAATCTTCTGAGTAAACAGCTTAAATTTCACACTGAAAACAGATGTCAAGTTTGACTAGTAAATGTCGGTCTGTAAGCAAACATCTAGAAAGAATGTTCAGTTAGTTAATCTGAAGGAAGTGCTTATGCCACCCTCATTCCTGTCTGAAGGTCAAACAACGATCACATCACTCTTAATGTGAATCGTGTTGAACCGGTACGTATAGTGACCCCAATATAGTGTACGGAGGAATGCATCAGCGATATCGCACAGAAAACATACTATGTATATGGCATTACCTTGTGCAGAAAAAATCCAACTCTTTTCTACCTAAATAACAAAATATGTATGTTTTTTAACCTAATGATTTCAAAATTTCATTTAATGCATTTTATAGCCCTATAGATTCAGCATTTAATTGACGCATCTTTTTTAGCTTATTTTGTGTTGTTGACTGGATTACGGAGCCTGGCTTAGAAGCCAGTATGTGCAAAACCTACTCTAGAGCCACTTTGCTTGAAATAGAACCACTGTGCCAGGGCGAGAGTACTGTAGAAATAGAGCTATTTTGCAAGCTGTGTGAAGGGTGCTTAATCCTCTGATCTGTCGTATTTATAGATGACCAAAAAAAAAAAAAAAGAAGAGCAACAAGGAGTATAAGTGATGAGTCAGAAATATTGTAAATACCTCCGTGTTTGTTGTCTCTTTGCTGACGTAAGTACTATTTTTTTCGTCTCTTAATTCGGTCATTGTAGGGGAAGATAACTCTGCGCGGCTAATTAAATTAGCTATGAAAATACAAGCTTTGACCAAAACAGGAAAAATTATCAAATGATTCGTCTGTTTGATAGGCGTAAACTGGAGGAAGCGCTTTATGTCGCAATGAGAGAATAAAGGTAACACACAAACACAGGTAGCCTTCGATCACCTCTCGCAGTTTTCGAGACTTTGAAAACTTACGCCAGGGTAAGAAGGAGGTATTCAGACGAATGAATGATAGACCTAAAAACAACTACGAAGTACTGTAATTGGCGTCATAATTTGTAAACTAGTGACCCTTAATAAATCAAAACGACCCCATCTTGATTTCAGATTCTTGCGCAACGGTGATGCGAGAAACGCAGATGACTCAAATACGTCTACTTTGATATTTGTTCTAAGCTAAAAAAATATTGTGTGGTAGACCATAAAAGGAAAATTTGAAGACACGGAAATAAACAAGAGTAAATGTATGAGTCAAGGGGCATTCATGCAAGCATACTCAGCTGTAAAGTTCTTTTGTGTCGACAGGGCGGATCAAGTTTAGTTAATGCGTTTTTCCGTCAGACATCAGCAATGCATTTCCAATGTGTAATCTTATCTGGTCTTCATATGCGTCAAACGTGGGACGCTACGTGTTATACTTGTGAATAAATTCGAAATTTCCGAACAGTTTCTTCTTAACACTGGACTGATAAGAAGAATAAGAAGAAGAGGGGATAATCAAATAAAGTTAGCTGCAGTCTACGATCGCAATGCTTGACAAACTCTTTCTGGGTGTGTTGTTGATTCTTTTGGCTGGAAAATGGTCGCACGGAAAAGGTAAGAGCTACGTAGTACTGGCCAGATTTAGGAACAGTTCTAAGTTGATAGTGCTTTTGAATATTAGAGTAAATGAAGAAAATTTCGAGTATCCAATAGTTGTCATAAATTTAAAAATTCGGCGCCGAAAAGATCGGGAAAGATCGAACGTTTCCACCGAGACTTACGTAAACAGAAATCATTCAGGTTTTAAAAGTTCTCCCGCGCATAGCTTTTGATTAAAAAGTGAAATGTTATCTAGTTTGTCTTTTAAAGAGACATAAATAAGTAATTTTGCGTCAGTTTTTATAAAATCACAAACGGGGCGAATTACTTCGTTCGCCAGTTGAGGTGCAGACCGTGGGATAATGAGGTTTTCTTCAAACGGAAGTAATAAGTGTCAACTTTTGAGTGCTGACAATTTGGACTAGGTCGAGTGAGGTTAACCAAAGTTTTAAAGATTTATCAATTTTTTACAAAAGCGTCATCGCTTCGCTTGATGCCGGATACATGCATGGCGGGGGTGCTTTGAGAAGCCACCCCCCCTCCTCCTGAATCCTTTGATATGGCCTAATACCTAGTTTGCAGGTTGATGAAAAACCAACTCGCCTAGATTCACGATTTTCTCAAACTTGTTACGTTTCGCAATTCCTTTGATTTCACCTACATGACCTCAATGTCTCAGTTAGTTTTAAGGCGGCCATTCTACCATATCTAACCTACTGCCATCTCACATGGCATTTTTGTAAATCTAGTGATAGTCGCAGATTGGAGAGAGTTCAAGAAAGAGGCCTAAGGGCTGTATTCAAAGATAAACACTCCACCTATGAACGTTTGCTCCACAAAGCTAATTTACCTTCGCTACTAAACAGACGCTTACAGGATATATGCATTTTAATGTACAAAGTTTAACACAACCTAAGCCCTTTGAATATTTGTAATATATTTCAGAAACACAACGCTTCCTATAATTTAAGACAGGCCGACTTTTCTATTCCTAGATACAACACAATAACTTACGGCAAACATTCACTACGCTATTTAGGACCTAAATTATGGAGTAAACTGACAACTCACGACAGATCAGCCACAACATTAGCTAGTTTCAAAAACCGCATACGTAAGCGTGACCTCAGCTCCCTATTAGATGATGGCTGCAGGGTTTGTGCTCTATGTACTTCTTAATTCATTTCATATCTTTTTTCGTACATGATATGACTTAATTTAATTCTTAGTAGGTAATATTCTTTGTAAATAATTTTTATCCATTTTATTTGTTTTCCCACATTAGTATGGGATATCTCCCAAACTAGGTTCTTTGACACGTTAATAAAGTTTCTATCTATCTATCTATTACAAAAATTCAACACTGAGACCCGAAGGGGGTACATCCTTTTAAATGAATTAGCCGTTTTGTTCTATCAGTTAAAAAGTTTCTTATCAAGAGTGTCTTAATTTAATGTATTTTAATTTTCTTGATAGATTACACTCCAGCAAACTTTACCGAGTACATGAAGTTGTCTGTTGAAGTCGATGAAGATAATTCTAGACTGGGTATGTATGCTGGTTTACTTTATCTATTGAAGTTAATGTCGATCTTTGAACTAAAAAAAAAAAACGACGCTAATTCAGGTAGACAGTTTTACTCGTGTGTCTCCAAAGAGATTCAGTCAAAATAATCATGCGTTCCCGCGAGGTGACCATGCCGTGGTGTTATATAAGCGCGCTCAGTCGCGCTTGCCTATCCCCTCAGAGGCAAGATGGTCTGAATCGACCTTTGAAACGGCGAAAACAAGAGCTTTGCGTGACGTGACCCTCAATGGCATGAGAGTTTTAGGGTAGGAGCAGACATCTAGCGTGAAGTAACTTATTTTTTCACGGAGGGAGGGGGGGGGGCATGAAGGAACCTGGCTTATTCAAGGACCACGAAATACAATAATTTTTCTCAACTGTAGTTTTCGCTGTGGAGCAAACATGTTTGACGGACATCTCATTTTTATTTCCAGGCTCCCGAGCAAGTCTAGGGCGGCCGTCGGTCACTTGGGAATGTGAAAGAGTAACAAGAGTGCCTTCACAAGTTCAAAGCGGATATCGCCTGAGCACCTTCTACCAGAAGTACTTACACGCATTCGGTATTCCTATCATAAGTTCCAACAGAGTTCGGGATGATGCACTAAAGAGAGCTTGCTATGTTGCTGTTTTTCTATTCGCTGACCGCCAGGATATTCGCTCGTGGTTTTACAAGCGCTATGGACGTGCAGGTGTGATCGCCTACAGCGAGGGCGTCACAAGTATTCCTGAACACTCGTGGCTCGGAAGCTGGTGGAACCAACGGGCTAGGGGACTGGGGGCGACACTTAGACATCCAATATCCACCGGTAAAAACATACTCCCTTAATATGAAACTTGTTGAGAAAATCTCAGCCTTTAATACTATTTCTTCAATCTGAGAACTGGGCTGACTATGTCGAGGTGACTCTTTCAGGCTTTCATTGAAAGAAAGAAAAAGCCCTCCAACTTCAATGCAGAGTTCGTTTGCTGCACATACTCAATAGATCAAAGATGTAATAAAAATCTGAGGAACTAATGAGCTCGAGGGAAGTATCTCCATATAAACCCCCCCCCAAAAATAACTGAAAGACGATTCTGTGATTCATAGTTACATGGAGGAGCCACGATCAGAAAACTAAATGTATATTTTTCCCTGGCTGCCGGAAGGTAATTGTGCTCCCTTTTCATAAAATGGGCCGGAAAATGGTCTCTGCTTGGTTGTGCATCATACGATAGAAGAGGGAAATAGACCGTCCCTCCGTGAAAATCTATACTTAAATTTATGTCACAAATTTAATGTAAGGCTTTGGTTTCCTTCCAGGTGGAGAAGAAAACCTTCTTTGCGACAGAGGCAGAGACCGCTATCCCAGAGAAGACATTTTCCTTCACGAATTTATTCACGGACTACATAACTTGGGAATAGCCTCAAACGGAGCAATTCCAAACTTCGATGGCAGGCTGCGCCAGCGATACGACCACCTAAGACGGACAGGCGAGAAATGGAGAAATACCTACGCCATGTCTACTGACCGGGAGTATCTCGCCGAAGGTGCTCAGAGTTATTTTGATTGCAACGACGAACAGATTCCAACAAACGGAATCCACAACTACGTCAACACCAGGACAGAATTGGCAGGTTACGACCCAGTGCTCTATGGATACCTCCTGGAGATATTCCCTTGTCAGAACCAATATGTGAAGCGATGCGATTGGCGAAAGGGTAAGTTAAAAGTTCTCATAGATGATTTTAATTTGTGGCAGACTTTTAACATAAAAATACCGTTTGTGAAATAAAGAAAATGTTCCTAAAAGAAGCCATATATAAGACCATGCGAAAAACAGAGTAAGCTGTACTGTTGAACTGTTCATGGAACTTTTAAACCGAATAGTCCTTCATCTACTGATCACTGATATTAGTGTTAAATTTGGTTGCTTTGCGGATGCAGGTCTCCTCTATTCCGCATCAACAATTTTGATTTTGAGTCCTCGCTTGGTTCGGGCCATGGTGCTCTTGTTCTTGTTCTCTTTGTTCACCACGACACTCAACTCCTGTATCTTCTCTCTCCATTCTGAAGTATTAATGGTACGGTATGCGAGAGTTGGAGATGAGAGTTATTAGCGACACACTAGCAATCCGTCGTAGCCATTCTCCATGCCGCTGCATGTAAATGAAATCGCGATAAGCTTAAGCAGAAAAGCAGTAGTATGCTTGAACGACTTGTGTGCCTCTTGCCTTCAGTACTGCTTTATATCTGTTCCTTTATGTTGTAAACTGCGTTAGATAGGTTTAGTTTCATATGTTCCTTGGTGTTGATTGACAGCGACCTACTTTCTATGCGCCACGTGCGAGAGATCAGATGAGTTTAGGTATGTTTTGAGCGTGTGTTGTCCCGCAGTCCTCTATCAATCGACAGAGGCCCTCGACAGCTAGATTTTTCTTCCTGATGTGGGTTTAAAAGCTTTATATCATTTTGGATAAAGGTAAAGAGGCTTTAACAATTTAATTGCATTTAAGCGGCTAATTGTGTTAAAACTACCTCTGAAAGGAAAGTTGCAGTAGCCGTAATATATCTATCTCCGAACGTGTGTCTGCTTTCTAACATAGACTTTGGTGGATTTGTTTTCAGGAAAGAGGCAAGTACAATTCAAAATGAACTGCGATAGAAGTAAGATCCTTTTCTTCATTCATTTCAATAACTACGAATTAACAATCTCTTAATTTTTTTTATGGTTTGCGCCGAGGTACAGCATCCAGCATGTGTACATTGAAGATCGCTTGCTCTAGAAAGATTGCCCTTGAACAGATTGCCCTCTGTATATTCTCGACACCTTCCATTTTCAAATCTTTTTGCCACATCCTACCTCACTTCTCTTTGGTTTCAAAACGTGCGTCAAAAATTATTTTGGTTTGATTCTTTGTTTGTTTGTTTTTTCAAATATCTCGATCATCAGCCCTCGTGCATTAATATAATTGATAATATTTTAACTTAATTTCTCAGGTGGCAGAGGAACCCTGATGGACTTTCATACGAAGCGACCTGTAAATCCACCAACAGCATCCCCGCCGGAAACCCCTCCTCCTCCTCCCAATACTCCCCCAGCTCCTAACACCCCTCTACCCCCTAAAACATCTCCCCACTCGAACACCCCACCTCCCCCAAATACCCCTCCCCCACCAAAACCCCAAACTTCTCGACCACCAGGTGAGCAAGTTCACATTATTATTTGTCGCTCAGCGTAGATGTTGTAGATGTTCCCTTTCGGAACAAACAAACACTACTTAAAGGACCGGGCTGCTAAATTACACTGACCTGTGGTTTCAGACTTAAAGGAAAAACTGACAGAAGAAAAATTGTCGCGTACATTACTTGCGAGAGCAACTTCGAACTGAAGTCAGAAAAAAAACCCATAAAGCTGCGTTTTGTGCAAGAACAGTCTCCTTTCTTTAGTCTTATTTTTCAACCCCAATCGTGTTGGCATCACTGCAACGAGCTGAAATAATTGAAGACCTTCTTTTCTTTTTCCTTTCTACCGAAGTAAATTGCAAAGATCTCCATTATAGCTGCCCTTCCTGGGCAAGGAGAGGTGAATGCACACGGAACCCAGGATACATGTTGAAGAAGTGTATGAAAAGTTGCAACAAGTGCAGTGGGGGTGGAGGAGGTAAGTAATGTTTTGCACTATCTAACAGCACGGAAACCTTATGATAAACGTCTTAGTTTCGGGATTGATAGTGCCACTGATGCGTATAAACTGTTAATGAGTATCGATAAACTGTTAGCCGTTCCTACCCTCCAAGAAAAAGAAAAAGAAAATCGGGAAGGGGACCCTTCTAGATTTTCTTTTGGTGGGTAGGGGTGGCTGTACACATGCTACAAACTGTTAGGGAAAGCTGACGAAAATAGAGTAGACTTGCATCACACCCCGAGAGAGTGCAGTTTGTCTTAGTAGAAACTTGACTCCCTTTCTGAGACGTAGCTGGAGCTGTAACAACTCAAAGATAGGCCCAATTTAAGGTTGAAATTGACTCCGTGCGGTTGTAAGGAACTGGGAATTTGTGACTCCACCCAGTGGGTGCTTTTATCCCGGTCTCCATAAATGTAGCATGAAGCGCCTAGAAGTATACCTACACCCCCCCCCCCTGTTGGGATGCTGGTTCATCCCAAGGGTACCCCCATCATCTCATTCGCCGGAACGCATTTATAGTCCTGGGAGGAGAGAGGCATTATGAGATTAAATTGACCCGGCCAGGCCTCGAACCCAGACCCCCCTTAGAGTCCAGTCCACCGACCATTAGGTGACCGCGTCTCCCGTCCAACTCTCAAGAGAATATATTCAACGTCAGAACTTATGTATTGCATGTGAAATGATCACCCTGAGTTGAAATGAAAGAGATCATACAATATGTATTTCCTGAGCGAAAGGAAAAACAAACTCGTTTTTAATTTTTGCAGGAAACTGCGTCGATAAAAACCGAAACTGCAGATGGTGGGCCCAATATGGAGAATGTCAGAAGAATCCAGGCTTTATGTTGGTTTCGTGCAAGAAAAGCTGTCGTCAGTGTTGAAGGAAAAAAAAATTAACGTGAGATGAGATGTGGAAAATAGATTGAGATGAGATTTTTTTTTTTGCACTCCGATTCTTCAAAGCATCGATTTTGACAAAAGAAAAGCACTGCAAAATCATTACTTTATATCGGGTCCTAAAAATTGTTTTGATCAAGATCACAATTTCTCAGTCATTGTGGAGTGCATGCGGAAAACTCTAATTTACATACGTGATAAATTCATGAATTATCCTTACAATATATAATACATTGTAATAAATGCGATGAGGAAGAATAAAAAAATAACAAAAAAAGAACAACAATAACAGCAAAAGAAAAAGCAATATCATTGACCGTGCGTCGTTTATATCCGATCCCTTTACATTCTAAGATCATTATTCATATTCTCCATTTTGTTCTTTATACACTTGCCATGGTGCCGACAAGAAAAATTTGTTTAAAAACACAATAGCAATTTTAGTAAACGATGGTTCATTTTCTTTTCATGATCATTGTAATTATTCGGTGGTGATGCTGTAAGCAGAAATTGGATGCTGGTCACACCACCAGGTTGAACGGTTAAACAATTCGCCATCAAAAACCTGGATGAAAAGTGTCATACTTTTGTAAAATTAAAATTTAATTATTTTTTTTTTGCCCTGTGGAATCGTTCCTTCAAGATGAATGCAAACACAGATAAAGAAACAAATAAAAAGAGTAAAATGAGGCGTGTAAGGAACTTCTGTTAGGTCAGAGGAGATTTATTTTCACAGAGTTTTTAAGAAATAAATTTTCATTGTCTCGAATTGTGTTTCTGAACAACAATGTTTATAATTTATTTATGCGACTTAGCAGAAATGTTTTTCCATATTTTTCCGACGATAATAGATTTTGGTAGAAGATCAAATTTCCTCTTTTCAATTTGGATCAAACACAAGGCTTATTATAATTTGCACACGCCAAATGTCATCTTTAAAAACTCTTATGACTTTTCAATTTCTTTTAACCGCGGAGATTGCTTTCACGCGTAGATGAATGACACATCGAAGGAAAATTATTTGTTTTTATGAAAACCACCTGTACTTTTGAAGTTTTCGTTTTGTGAGTTACGACTTCGATTGTAAATGGCCTGAGGACGATTTCTCGACATCTGTAAACAGAACGTGAATTTGCATTTTGAGACGATATTTTTCTAACTGAATCGAATCTCGGTTTCGATACCTCTGTTTGTCTCAATCTTTTCTTACTTTTCTCATTTATCTACAAAAAATCTATAAAAAAAAAAAAGAAAATAATAAAGTTTTCGGGTCGTGGTTCAAATCTATTGTCTTGGATGCACATATTCTGCAAGAAGGGCAAGGGTAAAATTTATCTATAATCTAAACCTTATGTTTATGTATATGATTGAACAAGAAACTGCAGGGATGTTGTATTTATAATTAGGATATCTTCATTATAGGGTATTTGAATTCGTCGTTAATGTTTATCTGTGTAGCTATATACGAGAATGACATATATATATACCACTTATAGAAGCTCTAGCTATTTTTAGTCGTGTTAATAAGCTCTACATGTACACACTTATTCAAAACCGGACGGAGCAAGATGTTATACGTACGGTTAATGTACCGAATGCTCATGCCCTGATAAAATCTATCGATGACTGACTTTTCGCAGTGTCGTTCGCCTTTAGAATCGCTTATTTAAGACCCGCAAAAACTGTCTTTGATAATGGGAATTATCTGTAGTATCGCAGACACCTTTTTTTCTGAGCTTGTGGCCCATGATAGAAGTGTTTGTTGTTTCACCGAGCCCTATTTTGCGAGCGTGAATTTCGCGTGAGAGCACTCGTGAGCCGTTCGTTTTCGTTTCGGGATTCTCCGTGATCGTTGCCTCCAAAACGCGTGATGAGGAAGCCTCCTCGCCATCGCCAGGTGTAGCTCCATCGCTAGGGAGTCGTTCTTTAACTTTATATCGTTCTGAAACTTTTTCTGTCTCGACGCCATAAGTGCGTCGATCCGTTATTGGGTTACTGATACTGCGGAAGACTTTCTTCTTCTTTGGGAATTGCTTTCCTTCGTTGCTTAGTGAGTTCGGTATCATTCGTTCTGAACGGAACATCACATTGTTTTTTTTCAATTTACCGTAACTTTCGTCGTTGAACGACTTCGAAAGTTCATCTTTTCCCGTCTCGCTCACCAGATTATAGCTGTACTGAAGAATGCGTTTATCGTCCCCACTAACTTGATTCGTCAAAACCAATGCGTTGTAGGCGCTTTCTCCGAGTTTCGAGACAGTGGAATTGCTATTTCTTTTCTTCATCACTTTTAGAGCTGTAGCTATATGACAGCTCTCGCCGCCACGGTAGGTTTTTGCACAACAACAAAAGGATCCACAGGGATGGAGTTTTTGTACTGCTTATGAACTTGATGTAGTCTTTACTACTTACGAATACAAGTCGGTGACTGTGAATTCATCCTTTTACCCAGCATGGGTCGTGTTATTGAACAACAAATAGAAGTTGTTGTTTTAATAAGCCATTTCCTATGGACGCCTATCGCCAACACCTGGTTTATTCATCCTCCTCTAATTACCCGTTTGCTTTGACGTGATGATACCCTGGATCATTTTAAAGTTCTAGCCAATGTAAGAGGACGGCTTGATTGCACTCATGCTGTTTGAAGTCACTGATGACCTGCTACAAGCATTCGAAGTCGCTAAGCAAAGCAAATAAGCTTACAAAGGAGAAATGAATAATGAAATAACGAGAGTGGAAGAAAGAAAAAGAGCGAAGAAAAACAAAACTTCGTTAACTTACAAATTGATTGCTATCAGAATGCACAAGTGAAAGTAAGCTTTATCAATAAAGAACAAAAAGTTAAAAATCTAAGAATTCTTCATAATAACTCAAGGTTTTTTTTTTAAATTTCGGGTTTTGTTTTGCCTTAGTTTCATTTCGTATTTACACTGTCATTATTAGTAATATTTGATAAAGGTCCTTTTTTGTGCCAGCACTCGAATCAAAACCCATTTGTTTTTTTTTGTCAATTGACTTGTTTGAACTTTTACGCCTCAATTTTATTTTTTTACCTTCCCTTTTCCGTTTACTTCACTTTGATAGTCTACTTCTAATTTCGTTTACAAAATCCCGCTGGATTACGGATACGAAGAAAAACAAATAGTAAAAAAAGAAAAAGATACATGATTCCAGAATTAAAGGTAATGAATAGCTAACAAACATCAGAAAGTTGCCAAGTAATGGTAGTCTTGCAGATTTTTTGCAGGGCTTGATTTCCAAAATTTACAGATTTTGATCTTGCCATTTTCAATGCAGTTCTCATCAAGTATCAGTTTTTGTTGTAATCGAACACCACACCGCTCTCTCTATTCCACTCAGCTAAAAAAAAACTCAATTTCAGTCACCTTGCTTATTTACTTTTACTAAAAGCATTTTGCTAGCCTTCTTCGACATTCTGGCCGGATGCTGTTTTGAACTGAATATCTCCAGAATGAAAAAAGCCAGCTCATAAGCAACAAAGCTAATCTTTTGAGAGTTTTTCCAGGACATGAAAGTGTTTTAATTTGGTCAGGAACAGTAGCTCTGCCATGGTTCGAAGGCCACCCTCCGATGTGGAATCCTAGTGCATTTTACACTGTTGTTTTACTGCGAGATCATTACGTGTCTTAGGCCTAGTTTATACGTCGAATTTAATTTAGACGAATATGATTCAAATTAAATTCGTTAATCAGTCGACGATTAATCGACGGTTGATTTAGACATCGAATTTAATAAGACGAATTTTACTTTTTGCCTGAGCCTTCCGTATTTATATGACCAGTGGCGAATTAAAAAAAAAAAAAAACCTACGAAACGCGCAGATTACACTAGGGCGGGAAAACCAAAACAAGATGGGAAAGACGCAGGAAAAGTGAGTACGAAGGAATCACGGTTTGCGCATGCGACAGGAACGAAACGAACCACGGGCTCAAATGGATATACATTATAATAACGTATGCATTGAATTTGATGCGTCTGTTGCGCGACGTCTAAAATGAAGACGTGCTATCGCAATTGTATCCGTCCAAGCAAGACGGATACAACGTCTTGGACGAATTGGATTCATCGGACGAGTGTTTATTCGATTTATACGCCGCGGAATCGTCGAATTTAATTACTAGCAGGTCCTTGAACTAAATTCGTCCGAATTAAATTCGACGATTTTGCGACGTATAAACAAGGCCTTACACATCTAGTAAGTTCAGATGAAAATGGGGTAAAAACGTGGCCAGAATAGGTGCCTTTCACGATAACCTATTAGCTGGCGGTTTTAATTTGTGAGCGCTTCAAAGCGTCAAGATGCGAAGCTATAGAAACAAACAGTGAGTCGCGAGAGGCTTGGGACAAAAAATGATTGACTCCTCTCGACCGAACCACTCATGGCACGGGGCTGCCACTGTACGGAAACAAGGGTGTAAAGCCTGTTTACACCACTTATATATATTTTTTTAACTCTTTACATCGTGACATCAGTGTGCATATTCTCCACACTGTAAAAGTAATCAAAAGTTTTCTTCGTTAGTGATCATTTCCTTTATTCTCCTGACCTTATTGTGTGATTCAGTGGTGATACGGTAAGGAGAAATTAGATGCTGGTCACTCTTACGCTGATCATTTCCTTTATTCTCCTGACCTTATTGTGTGATTCAGTGGTGATATTGTAAGGGGAAATTAGATGCTGGTCACTCTTACGCTGATCATTTCCTTTATTCTCCTGACCTTATTGTGTGATTCAGGGGTGATATCGTAAGGAGAAATTAGATGCTGGTCACTCCTAGAGGTTAAAGGGTTAACTAAGGTGCGCCAAATGCAAAGATAACCGAAAACATTCCAATGTTTTCAAAGGAGATGTTGACTTGATAGCTGAAGATAAATTGCACCGGGGAATATTGTCGCTCAATTACTGCCTCAAATGATCTCAAGTTTTGAGAAAANATTTCAGGCCTGTACGGGATTCGAACCACTGACCTCTGCGATACTAGTGCAGCGCTCTACCAATTGAGCTAACAAGCCAACTGGGAGCAGGCCATCAAATTAATTCGACATAAACCCGTAGATGATAAATCAAACAACAACAAACATATGAAACATATGTGTGAACTGCGGTTATGAGACGTATATGAGCACGATCCTTCGCAGTAAAGCACTATTTGAGCAATAGTGAAAATCAGACCTGAAAAAAATTTCAGGCCTGTACGGGATTCGAACCACTGACCTCTGCGATACTAGTGCAGCGCTCTACCAATTGAGCTAACAAGCCAACTGGGAGCAGGTCATCAAATTAATTCGACATAAACCCGTAGATGATAAATCAAACAACAACAAACATATGAAACATATGTGTGAACTGCGGTTATGAGACGTATATGAGCACGATCCTTCGCAGTAAAGCACTATTTGAGCAATAGTGAAAATCAGACCTGAAAAAAATTTCAGGCCTGTACGGGATTCGAACCACTGACCTCTGCGATACTAGTGCAGCGCTCTACCAATTGAGCTAACAAGCCAACTGGGAGCAGGCCATCAAATTAATTCGACATAAACCCGTAGATGATAAATCAAACAACAACAAACATATGAAACATATGTGTGAACTGCGGTTATGAGACGTATATGAGCACGATCCTTCGCAGTAAAGCACTATTTGAGCAATAGTGCTTTACTAGCAATTTCTCTCAAATTTTCACAATGTAATCTGAACATTTCGCCTAACCCTAACCCGGGTAGGATGAAATGATTTGTTTTTTTTAATCGTATTCAAGCGCATTGAACTTTAGAAACGTAATTCCAATAAGCCTTATTTGATCATAGATCTGATACCTGTTTTGACCTGTTCTATTCGCCTGTTCCACCCGTTTCATTAATTAAACGAAGCGCTACAATCGCCTGTTAAATGTCGCGTTGTGCCATTAAGTGGGCGCGCGGAAAGAGATTCTGGTTTCATTGCCGGTTTCCACTGTCACACCGCCATCAAAACCATTCGACAAATAAATTCAAGAATCAAAGGGACAAAAGAAGATGAAAATTCAAACAGACTCGAAAAGATTCTGGTCTGTGTGATGTTTCGTGCGGGTGATATTCGAAGAAATGTTTTATGCAAATTTATAAGGCTTTGTATGAAGACGCCAGTTCGTGTCCCTCCGAGGGCACAAGTATGCCGGAAGCTAACAAAAAACACATGTCATCGCGTTTTGTTATAAAAAAAAGACTGCAATCGTCTTCTGAGGGCTCATCCGCACTATGGGTACTTATTCTCATACAAGGACTGTTCAGATTGCGAAATCTCTGGGGATAAGTCAGCTTCCCCGATGTGTGGGCGCTGGTGAAACCCTAAATGTTTGTCTGAAGTCAGGTAAAGAAAGATACATAACATGCGTGACTCAGGACTATCTACATTTGCGTGATGATCGAAAGCCAAAGTTAATATCACGTAAATAACCAACTAAATATCCAATTTTGCATAAAGAATAAGATCGCGATGGAAGCTGCATAATTTTATGTAAAGAATTATGGAAAAACAGATGCCCTTTCGGCTTTTGGTTTTTATTCCACCCGTGAAGCAGAAAGTCAAAGCAGGCGCCTGCCCTCTCAGGCAACTTAATTTAGTGATTTAGAAAAATGCCCAGCGCTAACTCCTGCATAGACTTGCAGTATATCATGTCATGTTACACCCGAAGAAATCCACGTCACAAAAGCGCTTGCCTAAAAACTTACGCAAGTGAACGGATTTAAACAGATCTGATTTGAAACAGTGGGTTCCTTTCTGAAAAGAAAACAAACCAAACATAGTAATATGCAAAAAAAAAAAAACCTGAGAAGGAGGGAAGATTAACTGAAAGTTCCTTGAAATGATTCAATGAAACATAAGCTGTTGTATTTAGGCTTAAAATCATCACAAAGAAGTTAGGTTCTTGTTCCCTTTTTTCCTGGAAGCAATTACAACAAAGGTCACGTGTCCTATTTCGGAGGCTGAGAAAGTTCCAGAGTTCCATCCACAATCGCTGACATTCAGGTGTGCATTTGCAGGAAAAGGCATAACAAAGATCTATCATTTGGCTATGGAAGTTTCAGGTAAGATCGTTAGAATCTATTTTCCCTCGTTCAGCTTGGTTAAATTTAGTTATCGACGTGTAAAAGCAGGTTTAATTTAGAAATCGAAGGTCAGTCGACGCCATCATGGGACTCCATCAAGTCGACGCTAATTCTTTTTGGATCATTTTATACGAATTAAGTCAAACTTGCGAGTAAAGGCTGATAGTTTCGAAAGAAACTGTTTGGGGCCGCATTGGTGGGAGTAACGAAATAATTTGGATATATCAACAAAGTTGAAATGGTAAATTGGCCACCGTAACGATTACAAAAGCTGACGTTTCGAGCGTTAGCCCTTCGTCGGAGCGAATTATTAAGTCAAGCTTGGCTAATTTTCCGGAATAGCAAGATCTCAGTCCAGGTGGCCAGATGTTTATAAATCAAATTTCGCATTTAGACACAGCTTATTGCTGCTCTTTCTCTTCTCTTGGTAATGCGTGCTCAGAGGCAGTATTGATGGACAAGCTACCGATGCTCACCAATGCGCTGTGAATGAGCTCTTCCAGGGTGAAAATTTCAGCAATGCCAGTATCTCTAGGTGTAGAATTTGGATCAAAACGTTTCGCACTGAGCCTCTGAGTCAAAGCTCAGCTACTGGCTGTTAAAAGATTATTATAGGAGTTACGTGAATGATTATGTTCGGTTCCGTTCTTTTTAGCAGATCGATTGACCAAC